TCAGTTAATTTTACAAGATTCTGAACAAAAGATGTGGATCAATATTGCCTCGTGGCACACAAGTGTCCTTCACCTTGCTGGGAGTCACTTCAGACCCACAATTTTCTCGTAGCGTCAGCTCACATGTGAACATTCAGTGGCCTTACTATAACACCTGTAGCACACGTCTCTCCCCTTCTCCTCCTCTTCTGTCTGAAAAGTATATGAGCAGATAAAATAATGTTTTAGTGTTTCCTTTTCAGCCTTTATGTTTCATTCTCTCACTTCCAATCTCTGTATCCCTTCCTCTTTTTCCTCTTTCCCTATTTCTCTTTTTCCCTTCCTCGCATTCTCCCCCCCCCCCTCTCTCTCTCTCTCTCCATAGGAGAAATGGTTTTGAGTTCCCAAACAAACAATGCTCTTTTGTAGTAGCTATTGCCATTCGGCTTCAGTTACCAAGCATCATCTCGTATATGTAAAACCAGTATCTTGCAAGGTTACGGACCATTACGTAAGGCTTGTAGCTGTTGCCAGTGAGCATATTCAGCTGTGTAATTGACTGCCGAAATTGTAATTGTTGGAACCAAATATACTTGGATAAACCCCGTATTCTGGGACATTAGGCGTGCCCCAATCTCGTCGGGCAACCAGAAAGTGGGCAACCTGTTTTCTGGTAGTATTCCACTCATACGCTCTAGTTTTACAAGGGTAACAATAAATATGTAACAAAAGCCGTCCCAAGAATCTTAGGTACGTGATTTGTGATGCGTCATTCAGAATACTACAAGTATGTATACTAAACGATGACTACGTGTTACTGTAATATTAATGATTTGTATTCATTTAGAGTGGAGCAGTCCTGATCTGCGATTGGACAATAAAGTGGGTGTGTGGACCATGGTACTACATTTCGGGGACGACCATTGGCTCATAAGAAGGACGTCACAACTTGTTATTTTTCATTTACGACAAGTATTTTCCCAAAAGAACATACACTCGCGCCACGCAGACCTTTGCAAAATTAACTAGTATCTGTATCCAGCTGACGAACATTAATTTTCCAAGCTAGAAACATTTAGTTCTAAAAGTATAAATATGGATACACGCTTCACATATTCATTTGCCTTATTCCCCATGGAATTCTCAAAGAGTTTCGCTCACTTGGCAAGTGTCCAGATTCATAGTGAAGGGGGAGGGTTGCCACACAGTTTAATGTCTGGTGAGAGTGGAGGCGACGTCTGACAGAGGTATAGGTGTTGTATTTCTTTAGGGTTGGGTAAAGTGATTGTGTGCTTGAGTATGTGAGCTGTGGTGGAATTAGTGTGGAGTTCCTGTTTTCGATAAATTATTTGTTGTCGTTTTGAGAAGAGAGTTCTGTTAAAACGTTTCTTTATCCACGATCGTGTGTGGATGAACAGATTACTGATGTAGAAAGGTTTAAGGTGGCCTTGTTGATTAAGCTCGTGTTAGAGATAATGGTTGAGATATCATAACAGTTTATATGTCTTGGCATAGGTATTTTGCAGTGTAATATAAAATGATGCAAAATCAGCAAAACTTTACAATTTAGGTTTATAGCTCAGCCATTGAAATGAAAAACTGCCTCACCTTTAGTAACAAGGACATTTGACTTCAGCTGCATCGTTAAGAGGCAGATTAATAAAGTTACGTAAATTGCCAGAATATGTGTTCTGTAATCTTTGCACAGGATGGTAATGATAGTAAATGCTCAACTTCATTCTTATTTTGTAGGACGTTCTGGAAGGGACAGCATGCAAAACCGTAATTAAGCCATGCAAGTAAAAGAGGAATTGGAAAAATGCCTATTATAAGGAAGTGAAATACTACTTGTGAGACATCTTAGGATGATTAGATCTTTTATTTAAAAGAACGTTCATGGCACAGATATTAGTTATGTGGTTTAAGGTGAGTTGGCATAATTGGGAGTGCCATTGATAAAGCTCAGGTATTATATGCACTCTTTTAATGGTAATATAATGGCCATAGTAATACTACTGCAGCTGGTAGTATAGCTATGGTAAGACCAGCTGCACATTGTTGTCACTTGTGACTACTTATGGCATTATGGTGTTTTCCTGTGCTACTTCTATATTACTGGCACTATTATGTTAACTTGGCACACAATGAAATCAGCTGACTTGTCAAAATAAATGTACACAACTTCATTTTTTCACTTATTTTCCAAGTGTATCTGCATTTCATAAGGATGCATGCTTTTCTCCAGAACTATTTTTAAATTTATGAAATGTAATGAGCTTAGGACTAAGTAGATATAAATGCAGTGAATTAGAATAATGGAGGTAGTATGACGGAGCAATTTTACATAGCCATGTTTTTTGTATTTTTAGAATTATTCTCAACCCTTCCTCCCACATGTGCTGATATTAATATGTAATGTTATGCATAAAAAATACTCTATCACATAAGATGTTCTAAAAGGACCTATATCTGCCTTGTGAAAATAGCAAAGCCATCTTTTATCAGATTAACAGCTATTCCTTTAATGATTTGTCTATTAGTACTAATACTGTTTAAGCTGTCAGTATCAGAGATATGGTGGTCAGTCTTGAGACTTGGTGAAAGGGTTAATTTATGCGATGGAGGTTGACTGTTGTGATAGCAAGTTACCGATAAGAGATAGTCCTCTGAAGCTTATCAGTTACTAACCACTCTTGAGAGTAAGCTTCAGTCTGTTGAAGGTATTCTGTATAAAAGGTATGTTTGATATGTTTGAAGGAATGGATGAAAGTAAATAATACATGAAGCATAGGACCAATATTGATTTCTTGATTTATATATTTGTAATGGATGACACAGTGAAAGCTGTATATATTTTTTAAAATGTTTTTTGTTACATTAAAAATGGTAATGTAAGCTGTTAATTTATATGCTTGCAGATGCCTAGCCTTCTATATGTAATTTTAATTGCTAAATCTCTTTTTGAAAACTAAGTTATATAAAATGCATTATGATGATCAAGAATACCATTCAGTTATGAGTAGGATGATGATTGTTTCCAGTACTGAATGGGAATGGTTATTAGCATTTATTACAATTGTATGGATTCACAATCATGTAAGAGTATGCTTTTATAACTTTTTCCATACAAATGCAATGCTCCTTTAATATAGTTTAACAAAGACTTGGAATAAAAGGTGATTTTGGATGTAGTGTAATGACTGGTGTAGTGACTGTTGTTATTGTGTTTGGTTATTTTTGTTGATAGGAAATTTTTAAATGAAAAAATCACCAATTACTTTATTATTATCCAATTGCAGGTTGTATTATACATAGTTAGATAATTAGAATGGGGGAACAACGTCTTGCCAAGTGGTACTTTGGAGGCCTAGCATCATGTGGAGCAGCATGTTGCACTCATCCACTGGACCTGCTAAAGGTAAATAAGAAATTAATATTACTCATTATTTATTTGTAAATAAGGAGAAACTGACACTCATTATGTAATGTTCTTTATAAAAGTAATGATTGACTGTCGGTTTCAGGTTCATCTCCAGACACAACAGGTGGCCAGTATGGGAGGCTCTCAGATGGCTGTGCATATAGTGAGGAGCCAAGGCCTTTTAGCTCTTTACAATGGCCTCTCAGCCTCTCTCCTTAGACAGATTACCTATTCAACAACAAGATTTGCAATTTATGAGGTAAGATTCGTATTTAATTTGTGTCACTGTCACTAATCATTAAACATTTCTACATTTTAGTGCAACATTAGGTTTATACTTGTTGCTTCAAAGTAGGATAATGATTTATTTTTTATAGGTAAAGAATATAGGTAGTGATAATATTTTTGTTTTATTTTTTGTTGTTGATAAGCTAGCTACCTGATATATGAATTAAAATGTTTGAGGCTGTTTTAGGTTAGCTTGTGAGATAGTAGAATATAATCTAGCCTTAGTTTTATTTATTTGCTAGAAGATAAAGCTAGTATGTTGGTTAATTTGTAAGGAAACAATGCATTCTTCACATATGAAGTGAACCAATAATCAGTTGATGGATTTGAACATAAATGTGGATGAATGATTTTAAAAAGTAGTGATTTGTTGTTCTAACATCAAGTCATTATATCTTTATGAAATTATTTGATCTCATTTATATCATATTCAAATTAATGTTATTTAATTTGTAATTTTAATGTTATCAGTTTCATTAGTTATTTTTTCATAGATAGGCTTATTGAATTTACCAATGTTTAAAAATTGAACTTACCAATATTTTTTTGATATTTTTGATTCAGTATGAAATTCAAAAATTCCTTTTAGATTTTTTGGTTTACCAATATAACATATACTGAGGATAGGATAAAGAAATTCAGCATTGGCATAACAAAATTGTGTGAGCTTCATATTGACTTGTACATTGAACAGTAACAGTTTTATGCTCTTAGTTATTTGCTAGTGCATGTATTGTTTATTGTTAATAACCAGGAAAGTGTTGTGCTGTTTTGATCTGTAATAAGAGTTTACTTCTTACCGTTGATAATGAAGAGCAGCTCTCTTTCTAGGAAAATTATCTCTTACTTGTAAGTAAGGGATATACCCTAAGACAATTATCTTTTACAGCTTTAGCTTGAAGGAGGCGAAGGTCTGCCGTCCTAATTACCAGTCATAAAGCAGGACTAGCCAGGTTACCATGCTTGTAACCTTAGCAGCATGGTGTGAATTATGTCTGTAGGTGAAGTCTGATGATGGAGTGGTTCGAAGCTTACCTTTGATTCAGATCCTGATCTTTTCTTTCACTGTTTTTTTATTTTATTTTATTTTTTATATTTTTTTAACTGCATTTTTTTTCTCTCCCTCCCTCCTTCCTCTTTCTCCTTCCTCCTTCTCCTCCTCTCCTCCTCCTCCTCCCCCTCCTCTCCTCCTTCCTCCTCCCTCCTCCTCCTCTCCCTCCTCCCCTCCTCCTCCTCCCCTCCTCTCTCCTTCCTCCCCTCCTCTCCCTCCTTCCCCCCCCTCCTCTTCCTCCTCTCCCTCCTCTCCCTCCTCTCCCTCCTCTCCCTCCTCCCCTCCTCTCCTCCTCCCCTCCTCCCCTCTCTCCTCCTCCCCCCTCCTCTCCCTCCTCTCCCTCCTCCCTCCTCTCCCTCCTCCTCCTCCCTCCTCCCTCCTCCCTCCTCCTCCTCCTCCTCTCCTCCTCCTCCTCTCCTCCTCCTCCTCCTCCTCCTCTCCTTCCTCCTTCCTCATCATCCACTCTGTTTTATCCTCTTCCTCCCCTTTTTTCCTCCTTTTTATCGTCTTCCATCTCTTTTTTCCCTCATGCCCTTCCTTTTTCTCCTCTGCTTTTTTCATCCACCTTCTCCCTGTCACTCTCTTTCTTCTTTTTTATGTTTCTCCTCATCCTCTTCATCCTTCTGTTTGTTCCTCCTCCTTCTCTCATCCTCTTCTCCTCCTTCTCTTCATCCTTCTGTTTGTTCTCTCCTCCTCTTCATCCTTCTGTTGTTCTCCTCCTCCTCTTCTCCTTCCTCCTCTTCTCTTCATCCTTCTGTTTGTTCTCCTCCTTCTCTTCATCCTTCTGTTTGTTCTCCTCCTTCTCTTCATCCTTCTGTTTGTTCTCCTCCTTCTCTTCATCCTTCTGTTTGTTCTCGTTCTCCTCATCCTTTCTGTTTGTTCTCCTCCTTCTCTTCATCTTCTGTTTGTTCTCTTCTCTTCATCCTTCTGTTTGTTCTCCTCCTTCTCCCTTCTGTTTGTTCTCCTCCTTCTCTTCATCCTTCTGTTTGTTCTCCTCCTTCTCTTCATCCTTCTGTTTGTTCTCCTCCTCCTCCCTCCCCTTCTCTTCTTCCTCCTTCTCTTCTTCCTCCTTCTCTTCTTCCTTCTTCTCTTCTTCCTTCTTCTCTTCTTCCTCCTTCTCTTCTTCCCCTCCTCCCCTCTCTCCCTCCCCCTCTCCCCCCCTCCTCCCTCCCTCCTCCTCCTCCTCCTCCTCCTCCTCTCCTCCTCCTCTCCTCCTCCTCTCCTCCTCCTCCTCCCTCTCCTCCTCCTCCTCCTCCTCTCCTCCTCCTCCTCCTTCCTCCCTCTCCTCCTCCTCCTCCTCTCCTCTCCTCCTCTCCTCCTCCTCTCCCCTCTCCTCCTCCTCTCTCCTCCTCCTCCTCCTCCTCCCTCTCCTCCTCCTCTCCTTTCCTCCTCCTCCTCCTCCCCTCTTCCACCTCCTCCTCCTCCCCTCTCCATCTCCTCCTCCTCCTTTCCTCTTCCTCTCTCCTCCTCCTCTGCCCTTTCCTCCTCCTCCTCCTCCTCCCCTCTCCTCCTCCTCCTCCTCTGCCCTTTTCTCCTCCTCCTCCTCCTCTGCCCTTTTCTCTCCCTCCTCCTCTTCTGCCTCTCCTCCTCCTCCTCCTCTGCCCTTTTCTCCTCCTCCTCTCCTCTGCCCTTTTCTCCTCCTCCTCCTCCTCTGCCTTTCTCCTCCCCTCCTCCTCCTCTGCCCTTTCCTCCCTCCTCTTCTTCCTCTGCCCTTTCCTCCTCCTCTCTTCTTCCTCTGCCTTTCCTCCTCCTCCTCTTCTTCTCTGCCCTTTCCTCCTCCTCCTCCCTCCTCTGCCCTTTTCTCCTCCTCCTCCTCCTCTGCCTTTTCTCCTCCTCCTCCTCCTCTGCCCTCCTCCTCCTCCTCCTCTGCCTTTTCTCCTCCTTCCTGCCCTTTCTCCTTGTCGTCCTCCTCTGCCCTTTTCTCCTTGTCCTCCTCCTCTGCCCTTTTCTCCTTGTCCTCCTCCTCTGCCCTTTTCTCCTTGTCTCTCTCCTCTGCCCTTTTCTCCTCCTCCTCCTCCTCTGCCTTTTCTCCTCCTCCCCTCCTCTGCCCTTTTCTCCTTGTCCTCCTCCTCTGCCCTTTCTCCTTGTCCTCCTCCTCTGCCTTTTCTCCTTGTCCTCCTCCTCTGCCCTTTTCTCCTTGTCCTCCTCCCCTGTCCTCTCTGCCCTTTTCTCCTTGTCCTCCTCTACCCTTTCTTCCTCCTCCTACTCTGCCCTTTCTTCCTCCTACTCCTCCTCCTCTGCCCTTTCTTCCTCCTACTCCTCCTCCTCTGCCCTTTCCTCCTCCTCCTACTACTCCTCCTCTGCCCTCCTCCTCCCTCCTCCTCCTCTTCCTCCTCTACTGCCCTTTCCTCCTCCTCCTCCTCTCCTCTGCCCTTCCTCTCCTCCTCCTCCTCCTCTGCCCTTTCCTCTCCTCCTCCTCCTCCTTGTCTGCCCTTTCCTCCTCCTCCTCCTCCTCCTGCCCTTTCCTCCTCCTCCTCCTCCTCCTCCTCTGCCCTTTCCTCCTCCTCTCCTCCTCCTTCCTCCCTCCTCCTCCTCCTCCTCCTCCCTCCTCCTCCTCTCTCCTCCTCTGCCCTTTCCTCCTCCTCCTCCTCCTCCTCCTCCTCCTCCTCCTCCTCCTCCTCCTCCTCCTCCTCCCTCCTCCTCCCTCCTCTCCTTCCTCCTCTCCTCCCTCTGCCCTTTCCTCCTCCCTCCTCTGCCCTTTTCCTCCTCCTCCTCCTCCTCCTCTTCTTCCTCCTCCTACTCCTCCTCCTTCTCCCTTTCCTCTTCCTCCTTTTCCTTCCCTTTTCTCTCCTTCTCACTTTCCTCTTCCTTCTCCCTTTCCTCCTCTTCCTCCTCCCTTTCCTCCTCTTCCTCCTCCCTTTCCTCTTCCTCCTCTTCCTTTCCTCCTCCCTTTCCCTTTCCCTCCTCCTCTTCCTCCTCCTCCTCCTCCTCCTCTCCTCCTCCTCCTCCTCCTCCTCTCCCTCCTCCTCCTCCTCCTCCTCCCTTTCCTCCTCCTTTCCTCCCCTCCTCCCCTCCTCTCCCTTCCCTCCTCCTCCTCCTCCTCCCTTTCCTCCTCCTCCTATTCCCAGTCCTCTCTTTCCTCCTCCTCCTCCCTTTTCTCCTCATTTTAATTCCTTTCCTCCTCCAGTAACATACACTGATGAGATATTAATTATTGTTGATTTTATTTAACACTATACTACTTAAGGCAGAGTATTGCTCAATTACCCCATTTTTGTAGTTACCTAGAAATGTGTCCATTTGCTTTTAGGGGTAAAGCACATTATTTTACAATTAAGACATTTTTTTCATAAAAGTTCTAAATGTATTTCATCTTCATATGATGAATGTGTATACTCAGTGTGGACCTTAGTAACAATTATCCTTCCCTGCATACATGAATTCTTTGAAAGAACATTAAGAGATTTTGCTATTCCTGGACATCAGCTTTGTGGTATAGTGTTAATGACTAATACAAAGAAGGGAATGTGTCTTGGCAGAACCACTTCATCAGAGCTTTATCTTGATGCATGAATAAACTTTACATGAGCCAGCTCACAGATGCCTTGTCATGTTTTGATTGCTTTCATTGTTTCAGCTTTCAAGGCTTATTGTACCTTTATTTTGTAAGTGACACCATGTATCCTGGAAGACATCCATATTTTCTCCCTTCAGTATCATGTATGGTTGAAATTATTTGTAACTTGATGAAAGAAAAAACGTAGATGTATTCATGAAAGCATAATTGAGATAATTTTACGACAGCAATTAACTGTCCTTTGTATGATCCAGTTTTATTAATTTTGTTTTGCTGTTGCTTAATGTCTGACTGTAGAATTATATTATTAACAACAAGCGCATACACAACTAAGATTAAGAGTACTGATATGAGCACAACATTTAGTATAATTTATGGTACACAAGTGCACTTTATGCTAAAGATATGAGAAATCTATTTAGTGAAACTTCACAAGTTGTGGCAAACACACAAATTTATGTAGATTGTAAGGCTGATTGTGAATGTATGATTCAGTAATTTCATGTGTTATGATTTGGAGCAGTTCTCACTAATGAATAATGTTCTGTACCAGAGCACAAGAGAACAATATTCATACATTACTAATGGCTTTACAGATCTCTTGATATAACTTCAAGGATCAGGTTAGTGCAGAAGCAACACCATCAGCACTTGTTTTCTACAGCAACATGGAGAATGTAGATGCAAATATATATTTATAAATGAAATGCAGTTAGCTCTGCTTGAAAGATAGATAGGCTTAGCCCATTCAAATGAAGAGTTAAAGTTTCACAGTGAAACATGTATGATGTGTATATATAATATATCTGAGTGAGTGAGTGACTGAATGAGCAAGTAATAAAGTGTGATTGAGTGAGTGAGTGAGTTGAGTGAGTGAGTTGAGTGAGTGAGTGAGTTGAGTGAGTGAGTTGAGTGAGTGAGTGAGTGAGTGAGTGAGTGAGTGAGTGAGTGAGTGAGTGAGTGAGTGAGTGAGTGAGTGAGTTGAGTGAGTGAGTGAGTGAGTGAGTGAGTGAGTGAGTGAGTGAGTGAGTGAGTTGAGTGAGTGAGTGAGTGAGAGTGAAGTGAGTGAGTGAGTGAGTGAGTGAAGAGTGAGTTGAGTGAGTGAGAGTGAGTGAGTGAGTGAGTTGAGAGTGAGTGAGTGAGTGAGTTTGAGTTGAGTGAGTTGAGTGAGTGAGTGAGTTGAGTGAGTGAGTGAGTGAGTGAGTGAGTGAGTTGAGTGAGTGAGTGAGTGAGTGAGTGAGTGAGTTGAGTGAGTGAGTGAGTGAGTTGAGTGAGTGAGTGAGTGAGTGAGTGAGTGAGTGAGTGAGTTGAGTGAGTGATGAGTGAGTGAGTGAGTGAGTGAGTGAGTGAGTGAGTGAGTGAGTGAGTTGAGTGTGAGTGAGTGAGTGAGTTGAGTGAGTGAGTGAGTTGAGTGAGTGGGTGAGTTGAGTGAATTGAGTGAGAGAGTGAGTTGAG